TCTCTCTGCGTAATCGAGGAAGGTATTGAGTGGCATTAGAAGAGAATTAGAGGTACAGCGCTGAAACCTGAGGGCTGCTGTAAGGCCAGAATCTGATGATTGATGCTGTCACCTTGCCAAGTTGATGATTCGGTATCTTTCGAAGAATGGTACACATAGTCTCTGTGAGGGTGAGGCACCTGAATTAGAGGAAGGCTCCACGCTGCCGTTGTATCCCATTGTAGTTGCTCGAGTGTAGATTTTGCGAATGTTCAATATCTGTCACCGAACCTAGCCGCGGCAACGCAATCAAACAATCATGTCTGCTTCCGAGCCTTGTAGTCAGGTCAAGACGTCTAAGAATTTGCAACGCTACTATCGATAGAGGGGTAGCTCAGTGGTACAAGTCCATGGCGTTCCAGACCCACAGCCCAGGCAAATCCTTCACTACCCCTGAACGACCCGAATCAACTCAAAATGCTCCAGCTCTCACATCTTATCCCCCAATGCTTCTTCTTCGCGTGGTGATGCCGGGAATATATTACTACCGTCTGCTCAATCCTCCATCAACAACACCTCCAATCCGCATCGGTGGTTTAGTGGTAAAATTAGCCGTTGCCATGCCTCACAGCACAGTTTCGGCTAGCCCCGGGTTCGATTCCCGGCCGATGCATCCCTTTTGCCATCCTGCGCGTCGTTGTGGTGGTGGTCCTAGGGAGGAACATGTCTTTTTGCAGACCTGCGCGGGGTCACGTGCCAGTGGGGTGCCGCCAACGCCGGATGCTTTAAGCGCCTGGCTAACAGCGGGGTAGAATGCAGGAACTCGTCACTTGGAGTCCGCATTTTTGCCCTCTAGTCTGGCTGGAAGCTCGCACGGCAAGGACGCACAGTTCTGAGCGTAGTTATATAGGGCAGATTTCGCGACAGTCTTCTATACTTCCTAAAGAGGAGCCTTGGCGCAATGGTAGCGCGTTGGTTTTCGGCTGAAAACATCAAACACCAAAGGTATGGTTCACCGCGCCTCGAGATACCCACCAGACTCTAACAGATAACAGGTTGTGGGTTCGATCCCCATGGGCTTCGCTTACTTTTTGCGTTTTACTCCAATCGAGACGCTCCTCAAACATGCTGATGCTCTGTCTGGAGTTGCATGTTTTGTTGTGGCCGTTCTTTTTGCAATCTCCACCATCGACTCTACCTTGTCGCTTCGGGTACTGAACACGAGTCACGGCAAGCAGTTAGACATTCCACACACGCTCGTTATAATGCCAAGCAGGCTGTTGATATCTCGATCCTCTCGGTGGCAGAACGCGGGATGACATACGTGCAGCCATTGATCCTCACGTTTCAGATACATCTTTCCAACCCAGCGACCTGGTCGCGTTGCTGTCAAGGCAATTAAGACAAGCAACTTGACGCACATAAACAAACCTGCCGGGTCTGCAGCGGAAGATCCTTGCGTCATCTTGGGTAAATCAGGGTTCGGGAAATTATGATACCCGTTCTTGTCGATCCGATAACCTTGAATCTGAAACGCGGTGACTAAAGAGTGGATGCGACTCAACGGTGCATGTGGGTTGGCTCCTCAACGACACGGAGGCTGACGTGTCTTCGCAATGATGTCAGATGGGCGATCAGTGAAGAAAGTGAGATTCGACGCTGACGGGGTTGGGATCAGCGCGGAGTTTTGAGTCCTGCGCTTTCCAAGGGCTGTGGAGTATACAGCATTTGCTAGAGTAGACAGATGGTGAGCAGAAGTCCTTTCCCGCCATCGTGCCAAGTTCCCTAGCAATCAGTCATCTTTCCAATGGACAAGCATGGATCTTCCAGCCACAGATAGGCCAAGATGTAATGCATCCCTGGACCCCGACAGAACGACTATGCGAGAGGCGCCCCAGACCTAACAAAGCTGTTTGAAGCGGTCAGAATACAGCAACATCAGCGCTGCCTCCCGTCCTTGGCGGTTGACCAGCAAATCTACACAGCCGCGAACGCTACTACATCAGAGCTTTCGTGCTGAGCACTCTTCGCGTGGGTTGCTTGCAAGGATGGAACATGCCTGTGTGCTGTGGTGTGTGTTCATCGTCCCAAGAGGTCGTGTGCACCGAGCTGCACAGCTACTACACCGACAACAGGACAGCAGATCCAGTTCCATGGCGCACTGTGCATGGGCATTGGAGATCCCGCAGACAGCGGCTGGACGGCAATCGACGATCGGAAGAAACATCCAAGCGAGACGTTCAAACATCAAGCGCGTTCCAATTGGCTGTTCTGCTAACAAATGCGCAGACTACATTGCTAGTAAAGGGCTTTACCCTGTGTGACGTTAATCAGAGCAGCCACAAAAGCTTCCTCGTGCGTGCTTGGCCGGTCTAGACAGCGATTGGACGCATGTGGGGTTCCAGACGGGTAGATGAGCCAAAATGCTTGATTGGTTGTTGGTAAGAATTTCTCCCCGAATACTCGTTGGGAGTGCTCTAGGTCGATGGACGCGTGGAGACTAAACACAACGGCTACAATCGCTGGGGTGTATTGAGGTATGAAAGTGTGTTGCGCAGCTGCCGCGGGCGCGGAGAAGCGTCGACATTGACATCGTGGCGATTGAGATCTGGACTTGGATACTGGCGGATGGACTGGGTATGATAATACCCCAGAGATGCAGTGGATCAGTCGAGAGCATGGGCAACCAACCAAGCCTTGGTGCCGTCGGGTCGAGAAGTCAGACATGGTGATGTGTTGACACGCACAACGATCGGTTGCAATTGCCTTCCCTGCAGTGTCCAGGATACAACAGGCAGCTTTTGATCGGCGAGCTGGATTTGCGTCTCAGCATAGGAATAGTAATAGAGCCTTGATCGAGAGGGATGGTTCCTTGCGACGACAATGAAGTACCGCCAATTTGGGACCCTGGTTAGCTCCGCGAGAGTCAATTCTATATGCGTTGTGCTAAAGGCTAGCGCAAATGCTCCGTCTGGACGAGTCTCGGGATTCTCTTACTGCCGAAGAACGCGAGAAAAAAAGATGCACAAGAGGACGTGAAGACGTGTGGGTGAGGGCTGGTAGTGAGCGTAGATGATTCCCGAAGAAGCAGGAGGTTTTCCTCGATCTCTCCACACGAGTCGTTGATTGGTGGTGCTGCTCAAAATAGAAGCCGCACTGATCGCGTCTTTCTGATGATCGCGTCACCCTGGCGAGAAAAGCGGGGCACAAAAAGACATGGTGGAACGGAGAAAACCCACCCTCGAACGCCATGAGCTGCGACGCCGCGCACCACTGCCATTTCTGCACAACAGCAGAGACGGGACTGCTAGGCGTGTCTCGAGTGCGGTTGCGCAATTAGAGGAAATGATGTTGTGCCTCGACAATGCACATCAAACAGCTCTCATCTCGCTGAGCCGAGCATCCTCGTCCCGTTCCCCACGGCTTGGGGAACATCGCAATCCGCAAATTTCATCACGGGGATGCGATCCTGCACGAGTCTCGCGGAAGGCCCGACGTGGTGCCGGGACCCTCTGCAATGGTGCCATGCATGCAGTGCCGGGAGCAGGAGAGGTGGGGAGTGCTGGTAGAGCCGTGGCATCACGTAGGCACAGTAGGAGCAGACACGGCGTGGCAGAGGGACGGGAGACTGGCGTGCAGAGGAGCGGGGTACAGACGTGTCGGTGAAGTATCAACATGGCGAAGGCGGGCTTTGGAGCGTCGTTATCGCAGCCCGCCAGCGACCTAACGAGCCCACCGCTACTCACCAACTGCTGCAAACGGCTGAGCCGCAGGTGCGGTGGGTCGCGCGACGCCGGGCGCGCGCTGCGGATTGGCCGTCGGGGACCCTCGCAGAGGCGAATTCGTAAGTGTTTACCAGATCGCGTCGTATCTGCTCGGCCTAAGCGCAACGCGTCGACGCACCAGCCGCGACAGGAGCTGGAGGGTTTGCAGGCAGCCGTGACGTTGGCCGGGCCTGGTGCAGTGTGCCGTTGCCATGCAGCGAGAAGCTTCCGAACGGCAGGGTGGGAATGTGGCAGGATCAACATGTGGTTAGAGGTGCAAATGGGCCGCCGCGATATTGTTGCTTATATCGGCTGCGCCCGAGCACTATATGACGGGGGCGCGACCAGGGTCAAAGTGAAGCTGGCGAGGTGAGGTGAGGTGATGGGCGCTGTCTTCACAACGTCGGGGCGGATGAAGCTCAGCGGCCATCGGCTATGAAGATTTGCGTGAATACGACGAGCGGCAGCTGCCCTGGGCCACGAGCCGTGAGGCCCTGAGGCTGTCAAGCAGAGGCTCACGGCATCCAGCGTCGCCCACACGCCTGCGACGGGTTGGCCGCACAGGCAGGCTGGCATAAAGACGCTGCTGCACCTGGCGAGGCAGGGCAACGTGCTCGTTGTCTGGCGTGAGGAAGTTATTGAATCTCCTAGACCTAGCCGCGCCCGTCCGTGCGTGCTCCAGAGACTAGTGCGGCCCCTTTGCCTGACAACCTCAACTCTTCACCGCGACGGCCAACCTTACCCTCCCTCTATTATTTCCTTTTCTGCTTGCTTGTTGAATCGCACGTCGTTGTCAGCAGCAGAAGACCGACTCTCCACGACCGACCAATGCAGGCTTGAACAACTGCTCGGGAGGCTTGGTACACGCTGCCATCTCCGTCGATTCACGACAGCCTTCCCAGCGCTTGACGACGTTACATTCTATTCTCTGTTTTAATACTTTGTCCGTTTTGTTTCATAGCAGGTACACCTCCCCCAGCTGCCCGTCGCCGCCCCAGGAGCCCCGACACAGGCCTGCCTGCCCCCCCAATGCCCCGTCCCTAAAGGCCACGCTCTGGTCGCCTGCCTCCCGTCCGCGACCGCGGCCACCATGCCCATCGCTCCACCACCCGCAGCCTTCGCACTCTCAGAGCCCCCTGCTAATGCGCCCGCCCTCCACAGATCTTCCTTTGCCCGTCTCGGTCGCCGCTTCCTGCCGCCGACGAGCCCTCGCCCACCCCCGTCGAGCTCCTGATAGCGCTACCTCGCAGGCCTCCGATGGCTCAGGTACTCACATCAGTCATCCAGACGACAGGACCCATTACAATGCCCTACTCGCCGTCCGATGCCTACAAAAACACGCCCAACCACCCCAACCAACAACAACAGCGGGCCTCGCAGATGCCGCGCAACCAGCAAAATGGAAACTCGGGAGGCACTGGATACAGAGGGACCGCCGCACCCATAGCCCCGTATGCCTTCAACAGCACGCCCCAGCTGCGCCAGGACAACAGGTCTGCCTCGACACCAGCCCCCCAAACCCTGCAGCAGCCTCCCAGCCACGCCAACCAGACACGACTCGGCCACCCCTCTCACCCCTCCTCATCCTCCGATTCCACAGTCTCCACCTCTGGCTCGTCCAACCGCTCGTCGGCTGGGCCACCCACAGCTGCCAGAGATGACCGCGACACCAAGAAACCTTACGACTCCGCTGCGCCCTCCATCACGCTATCCACCTCCATACCCGATCTCTCGCTTTCAATAGGCGATACGCCTGCCAAGCCCTCACCAGGACGATACAGGCGAGGCGCTGGACGGACAGACTCGTCCAACAGCATTCCGACCGGTGCCTCTACCCCGACGCAACGCTCTACATCAGGAGGAAACTCCCAGATGGGACCCACGCAGAATGACGGCCCACATCCATTCAGGCCAGGGCACAACCGAGCGAACAGTGCAGATGATACGCAAGTTATTCGCTCAGGCGGTATAGACCCCGCTAAGCGATATAGAAGACGCAGTTTCAACGGACTGGAAGGAGACAACAACGTTACCTCCGCCATGGCATCATTGCAGGTTAGCTCAGGAGCTGGTTCAAGCACGACGCCGAGCGCCACCACCACCACGCCCTCGAATTCGAATCGTGCAGGAAGCCGCCCCGACTCGAGTCACAGTCATGAACGGCAAGGCAGTGCAGGCAGTGCTTCCTCTAACAACTCTTCAAGGTCTCAGGTGAGTAGAGTGACTTCACCAGACTTTCGCAAGCTGACAAGGAATCCAGTCTCGCCCTGTGGTGAACCCGCAGCGCAGCTATGCCTCCGTAGCAGCAGGCGGTCCTTCCAAAGCACCTGAGCCTAACAGGCGGCAAGCTCCATCTCCTCTGTCGCACCCGGTCTCCCCATCAGAGCCTGCAAGCCCTGCGAAGGCACCTGTACTACCTAGCACAGCGATGCAACACCTCAACGCTGTGAACGACAAGGACAAGGGAATGAAGTCCCGGCTACGCAGGGCCTTTTCTTTTGGAAGCGCAGCTGAGCTTCGAAAGGCTTCTGCTGAGAATAACATCTCGGCAGAGCGTGCAAGATTGAGGAAAGACAAGTACCAGAACGACGAGGATGCCGAACAAGCGGCGATTATCGCAAAGCAAGAGGCGGCAGGTATTGGCGCTGGCATCTACTCAGGACAGGGTGGCATAGGCTCTACTGACAACCTCTCAATACAGTCAGCCGCGTCGTCTGCATCGGTCATGCTCCGCAAGATGGGCCATGGGATGAAGAAGGGCACAAAATCCATCAAGGGCCTCTTCAGGCCAAAGTCGGTCATTGGAGTCCCTGCCGCCGATGGTCCTATCACTAGACCCAGCGTGGGTCAGGTGTCTCTTGTCACCGTCGAGGCTGAGAGACAAAAGGTCAATGTCAACGCAAACCCTCACGAGCAGATCGGAGGTGGCACTGGCTATCCTAGATTGGAGCGCAATTCGATTGACGCAGGACGGTCCGCCGAGATTGTAAACCCCTCTGCGTTGGGCAACGAGGCTATGTCAAGGAAGAGCATCGTTGGGTCCGATCGTGATCGTGCGGAGGTCCTTTCCTCGATGAAGAAGGGCATCCTGAAACGTACGTGTGCTACGCATTCCTCATATGCAGCTACTAATGAAACATCAGGCACCGGTACAAACTCAGATTCAGGTTCACCTGTTCTGAAACCCGTCGATGCCGTCCCCAATGTGGGCTCATCAAGATCTAGCTCCCCTGCCACGCCAAAAACAGAGGTTGGGCAAGCTCGCAACGATGACTACTTCGGCAAACCACCGCGTATCCCCAACGGCAGCACGAGGAGTCTTCCTACCACACCTCACGGAGGTCTTCGAAACATCAGTTTTAGCCCACGCATTCAATTCCACGATGCATGGTCACCACAGGACTACGATCGTAGAGGCGACATCGCAACGTGTAATAGGCTTACACCGATGCTTGCGCAACAGATCAAGGAGGAACTGAACTCCTTTAAGATGGTATGTACTGCAGCTAGAGTATCGTTACCGGAGCCAAGCTAACCACTCGAACAGGAGATGGAAGTTCACGAGCTCTCGAAACCACACACCCATTTCTTCTAATGATTATGCATCCATCATTTGGACATGGCGTCTTGGCGAATACCTCTCATCGTTGCACTTGCGGATTGGAGCCATCAGCATTTACCAGTTGTCAGCTCTGTTCCATGTTCTGGTTACTACGGACTGTTCTTCCATCTTAGCGAGCATTTGCAATCACGTAGAGGAAGAACGCGTGCTCGCGTGTGGGCTCAGCGGGCGAAGTAATTGTTGGCATCGGACTGCAAAAAAGACGGAGGGAGATCTTTCTAGTTGAAGCCAACCTTTTCCTTGCCCTCATCGTCTCTATTCGTGGTTCAGTCGTATGTTGACGTCCATTTCCTTTACTGTCAGACGTGTCTTTGTCTCTCATTACTTTCCTTGAGTCAGTATCAGTCATGGTTGAGGGGTATCTGCGTTGTCTACATCGGAGAGATACAATATGCGAAAAGGCGAGTCGGACGCACTTGGCTGGCGCAAGAGTCCTTGGTAGTGACTTGTGCTGATTAGCTTGTAATTGGAAAACAATCTTCGGCGCATCTTTGCTCCATGGTGTACGTTGACATCGAATGGGATTTCCCCTATGCACTTCGTCCGCGTGCTGGCGCAGGGCCTCGCGTCCGTGTGGAACATGTATTGATTTACACTGCACTCTACTAATGCGTGATCACGGTCAACCAACCGCGTGCTAAATTTGGTGCACACATCTCTCCGAACCTCGTATGCTCATGCCCTGCAGCGTTGCATTGACGGTCAGACCCCCGCGCATCCATGTCTATTCTGGTAGTTTTCGACAACAATTTCCGAAGCCCCCCAGAAGTTCGCACACAGACATTGCATTTCTATCCGCCACCGACACCTTGATGGTCGTCAAGACCACTTCATGATCTTGTCGCCGTTCAGCAAACCACACCTTCCTGTTCAAGCACATCATTATAATCACGCCGCATTGGTTGCATACATTGGCGGTTCAGGCGCTAGTCTTCCAATTCATTGAAAGCATCGTTTGGGAAGCATGTCCGCCGACTAAGGGAACGCGTGATCCCTCCTCATAATGTGCGACATATGATTCCTGGCAACGGTCTATAAGCGCTAAAAAGATCGGAATCGTAGCGTGCGGCGCCTGGGTGGCGCTGTTAATGGTATCTCTGGAGAACAACGCCCAGGTGCTGCACGTGTCTGTGGTCTGGAGTTCCGTGGTGGACGTGAAACCCAAATTCATACGAATTGACGCACATACTTGAGTAGCAAATAAGAATTGCGTCACACATGCCTTAGACATTATCTCGAGTAGGTCGGATGGTGGAGTGATTGATCACGTGGGGACGTAGCTCGCTTGGTTAGCGCGCCAAGAAAGCGCACCTTCTCCGCCCCCGAGCAAGTCGAAATTGACCTGAGTTCGACCGTCTCTCCTCAGCAACCACACAACAACCGACAAAATGGTACGTCTAATGCGCGGTCGAGATTCCGAAAACGAAGATTGTTGGCGCTGACCGTTAGACAGGCACCTGCAGCAACTGGAGGCAAGAAGCAGAAGAAGAAGTGGTCCAAGGGCAAGGGTACGTGATCCAGCACTGCACACCTTCAGCATAATTATACACCTCGCGAACACGTCGGAAACGCTCGAAAGCCTTATTGATACTCCCGCAACCCTGTTTCACCATCGCGCACTTCAACATGACTCCAGAGTCGATTTGCCACTAACACATAAGCAGTCAAGGACAAGGCCCAGCACGCTGTCGTTCTCGACAAGCAGACCAACGACAAGCTCCAGAAGGATGTCCAGTCCTACCGCCTCATCACCGTTGCCACTCTCGTCGATCGCTTGAAGATCAACGGTTCGCTCGCGCGTCAAGCTCTTAACGACCTTGAGGCCAACGGTCAGATCAAGAAGGTTGTCGGACACTCCAAGCTCAGCATCTACAGTATGTCACCACAAATGCATTTCCAAAGATCCACGTGTTACGAAACCTTGGAAGATTTGGAGATTGTATGAGCGTTCACTAACACACTGCAGCACGAGCTGTCGGCGCCGCCGAGTAAGCCTTACGCAACCGACAATTAAACGAACGTAAATGCGAATCTCGGATAGCTCTTTCGGCTTTTTAACGGCATTCCTCTTTCCATTACCAATCGGCGTCTTCATGAAATGAACGGGTCATACTACATTGGGATGCATGCTTCATAGCGGACATGAAATGAGAGGAACGGGCTCGGGTACAGCACCTAGGGTCCATTGGAGGTGTCGGTTATGTACTAAATGAAAAGACTTCCGAAACACCACCACCCAACTTGACCTTGCTATTAGTGAAAGCGCTCGTGTGCTAATGTTGAGTCCACACTACAGAGTGTTCATTCGTACCACTGTCCTTGTCTTGGTTTTGTCAATGCTTGCAGCCCTCGTGTCCCCTCCCCTTGTTCTGGCTTTTACAAGCATACTAGCGCTGATGTCTGGCGTCATGTCAATCGCGAATTCCACCGCTTTTACTCTCCAGCTTGAAATTGCCATAGCACTCTGCTCTTTCCCCTAGAGACGTACCGACGACAGGTCTATGTCTTGCTTACACCTCGTGCTTGCTATGACTGCTCACAAGGATATGTCCGGTCAGAGCGCGAGCACGTATTGATCAACTTGCGGACATGTACCATCGGTCTGTGAAGATGGATTTAATCCATGCCGCGGTTCCTTGATTTAGGCCCGTATACTGTCTGAGGCGATACGTTCTCCTACTCCACACACTTCCTGTTTCGTTCCGGTCTTAGACAATAGCAAGAGTACACGGAGGCGGAGGAACGGGCTCTTGGTCAGGACTGGTTGGAAAACTAGAACTCTATCTCATCCAGTCTCAGGCATGCCACGTCCTTTCCTTGTACGCTGGTTGAAGTCAGAACCTCTGGTATAGTATAGCTATCCCTTCCTGTCTGCTCTGCGTTTTGGATCACATCATTTCGCTTGTAGTATGGAAGGCTCGATCTCTCAAGTTGCAAGAAGTCACGCGACGGTGTGACTCAAGGATATACCGGTATTTTGTTGGGATAGATTGGCCACATGGGCCCATCAGATGCCTCACAAATTGCGTCGGTTGAGAAGGACATACTTCATTGCAGCATAGCTATATTTACTTGCCGCGCAAGTGAAGGAGAAGATTCGAGTGTGAGAATAGTTATTAGACATGATTTACAGTAGGAAGGCTGGGGACGCGGGCATCAAGTTTGTGCGTATATACAATGGATATACGCCTGGAAGGCCAGGACAGTATGCCGAGGGAAGCTCGACCTATTGTTCATATTTCCGAACCGGCCTGCCCTTTTCGGCCTGCTCGCACAAGCCCCTCTTAGGCATTTTGTCCTGCCATCCAGGTTCCCTCTTGACATAGCCTACCCGCCTATACGGCTTACCCTTGTCTCCACGGAACAACATATGCCAGCCCTCCAGACCGGCAACCATCTGTTTTCTAGCGCTCTTGAGTTCCTGTGCACGCCTGTTCTTCAGTTCTCCCTTGCTCAATGGTTTCCTCTTCCGCGCCTTTTCCATTTCCACTTCTCTTTCTTCCTGTGTCAGACCGGCTTTCTCTTCGGGCTCAACGGGTATGAACATTTCCTCTACGCCGCGTAGATCGGGCACAGTGTCTTCGGCGAAACAACCCGTAAGGAAGGCGCGCGCTGCGTCTTTGCCCGCGAAAAAGTGGTATGAGCCGCCGGGTCCGTAGGTCGTAGGCGAAATGGAAACGTCGTAAATTGTACCGTTTAGAGCGAGGTAGATCGGTTTTGAGGGGTCGCTGCCGTCATATAGAGCCAATTCAGCATCGGTTAGGGTGAGTTCTCCTTGCTACGTGTCATGTTAGCTACGAGAGCTTGTTGGAATGTGTAAGAGAGACTTACCATGAGGCTCTTCCACTCTCGAGCTCTGGTCCACCATGCATTATATCCCCATGTCATGCTTTCTCCACTTGTACTCAGATAGCTCAGCCCGCAACTCAATAGGAGGACGCCACCTAGTATGCGCAGTATGTCCAGCACGGATAAGCCATTTGACGTCGCAGCGGCTTGCTCCTTGACGGCTTTCTTAAGCTCTGCTTTCTCTTGAGCGCCCGAGGAGGTCGGAGGAATAGAAGACGTGATCGTGTCTGTGGGCTCCTCTTTCGCAGCACGGCGGTATCGCTGTGATGAGGACATTATGGCGGTGGTAGTGACGGTAATGCGTTCAGATGCACTGCTTTATTTGCGTGGTCAGTCTACATATAGCGAGAGTTGCTCGGAGACGTTCATACCTGTTCATCCAACAGTTACGCAGCTCAAAGTGTGGTACTCCCGCGTCAACGTCACTCAGATACCGAGGCACAACCCTAACTAGCCGCCGAAGAAAGTATTCGGAGACGTGTCCGCAAGCCAGGAACCGTCGGATGCGCGATGCGGAGAATAGATTGCTTTCGCCTGCGCGTTCCGAGGCGCTGCTGTCGGGAAGTACCACAATCTCGGTTCCGATGATTGGCCACTTTCAGATTGATGTCATTGGCGATCTTGGCCAAGACGCTACTACTGGACTATCACTTTTGGACAACTTGCAATAGATGAGATCGGCATGAAAGACTTGGAATCGCATAACTCGTAGAGTCAATATGCAAATTTCTGTAACCTGGCTACTGTACGATATCGCAGGTGTCATGCGAATGTTTCACTTTTGTAGTAATACAACCCTCCCTTCGTGTGTGTATATACAACGTCCATCTTCCATCTTCTCTCCACTAGTTGTGTGATTTGCATGATGTAGGGATCGTGGCGTTTCCCGCTTCTTAGAGTACGAAATCGTTCAGTGGTCTTTCCTCATTTAATGAGCATCACCCCAATCACTCATTCAGCGCCGTCGTGAATATCGCGGATCTCGACTTGCGCTTCTCTGTCGCTCTTGGGGAAGACCTTTTTGAGTCCTGCTTGGAAGACGCCGACGTTGTAGTCGATGATGGCTTTCTTTTCCGCTGGATTATCCTGGCCCATGATACATACTAGAGCGAGATACCTGTATC